CCCCCCCCTGTAAACCTTTCGCACTTAGTTGTGTACAGCCAACCATTTCTCTGCATATGACAGTCAAATTTAAAACTTAACTTTAAAAATAATATTTTCTGGATACAATGTTTTTTCAAGATTCTTTTCTCAAGGATTTTGTATATATGACACAGTGACAGTTCCATCTATATTCTACCTCATTGCCTGTTGTGAGGACGGTTGAACCCAAGCAAGCCTACTTTTTTTCAGTCCCTGTCTAAACTGCTATTATCGTACAAGGTTTGATGAGAATATATGTGTATGAAGGAAGTTACGTACATCGCATATGTTTTCAGGGACATACCGGTAATCTTCATATAAATGTCAGCAAAAATCATGGTTTTCTTTTTTAATTTCATCAAAATGAAACATCAAGGAGCCCTGGTTGAACCAAATCAGTCATTCCTAGAACATCAAGTTTATGCTGTGAACTATTCAAAGTACTTATAGCTTATAGATATAAGTTCCAAGTCCATGAGATGCAATACAATACTTATCAATCACCTTGTTATAGATAATTATAATCTAAAAACTCATTTCAACGTATCTTTCAAAGCACAAATATTTATTTAAAAAGATCCTGTAATCTTCGAGCAAACAAAGTTCTGCACCCTTACCATTATACCATTTTATTTCAGTAAATATTCTTGACCTGAATCTGATAATCAACTTCTAAGATTTAAAAACAATTCGAAACTGGTTTTAACCATACCTGGTATATGAAATCGTAAAAGCACATGTTCTTGTATGCTACATAAGAAACTCATCAGCCTTTTTTATACAAATATTTTCTAATTACACTACATTTTTCCAAGGTGTAAAACATTATCATAGACCGAACTATTTTTCAAAGCTGTCCCTTCAAATATCAACACACTCATACCTGCACAATATAAAGCTGAGACTAAGTTGGACAACATATATATATCACTTCATCATCAGTACAGGTAGGATGTGTTTACCTGTACAGGGAGAGGATAGCCGAGATCAGTAAAACCAGGCAGAATATATAGGGGTCATGGAGTACGCCACTTAACTCACAGCAGATAATCCAATAAAATGCCAATTCTGTATTTTTAGCCTGTGACCTTTGCCGTATGCAACATTAAAACCCTACATTTTTAACCAGCACATGATATTCGCCATAGTAAGCCTTGTTAAACTTGTATAACCCTAGAAATGGGCAGCTCGACGCACTGAATGCAGCATTATGCAAGTGCTACCAAGGAAAATAAAACATCCAGCCAAGATCCAAAGCCCTTGATAATACACCTGTGTGCATGTGTATAATGTAAACAAATGGCCATTAAACCTGGGGTTTCATGCAGGGAGCCTTCTATTACACTGTAATTACCAAACTATTACTCCATAATTACGATTTCATGCGGCCCTAATTTCTGTAACTATGCCTGTAACATGTGATTTTCCCCATACTACCACTGGCTAGGACGTTTGACACAACCGATACCATCTATCTGATACACGGGGACATGTCTCAACATCTAACATTCAATATTTCAAATCATCACTGACAGAAGATTCATGCGAGTATTGGGTGACAGAAGACACATGCACTGTGTCAGTATTTGAATGTATACCTTACTCTAAATGTCCTTTATTTTGCAGTTATACACAATCTACATCTCTCAATGTATAGAACCTGCTACACTTCTCACGGCACAGAACCTGCTACACCTGTCACTCAACAGAACCTGCTACACTTCTCACAGCACAGAACCTGCTACACTTCTCACAACACAGAACCTGCTACACTTCTCACAGCACAGAACCTGCTACACCTCTCACAGCACAGAACCTGCTACACTTCTCACAACACAGAACCTGCTACACTTCTCACAGCACAGAACCTGATACACCTCTCACAGCATAGAACCTGCTACACCTCTCACAGCATAGAACCTGCTACACCTCTCACAGCATAGAACCTGATACACCTCTCACTCCATAGAACCTGATACACCTCTCACAGCATAGAACCTGCTACACTTCTCACAGCACAGAACCTGATACACCTCTCACAGCATAGAACCTGCTACACTTCTCACAGCATAGAACCTGCTACAC